GTTACTGGTTTTCTTCCAGTCCTGCTGCAATCACAACAGATCTCCTTGGACCTTAGAAGTAGGTACACTAGCAGTATAAATCTATGCTGTAATGTAATGCTCAGTGCCTGCTACGTATCAAAATCAAGAGTTGCAAGAATTTTAATTGTAAAGTTATGGCAAATTATTTAAAACCATTCCTGTGCAAAACACCTACAAAATAACCACTTTGGGGAAAGGGGTCATCCCTTCCCCCAAAAAACTGCTAACAGGATATGACAAATAGCATCAGTGTGATGGGGACACTTACCTGACTATTAAAATTCTGGATGTGTTATAGTGATTCAGGACCTGACTGTCCACTGCTTTGCCCCTTGTATGGTTATTCACACCTGTGTAAAGTGGCTGTCAGATGGGACCGTTTTATAGGGTAACATTATTTTACCTCCTTTGCACAGGTATAAATGGTGCGAAGACAGGAGAGAATCATGCAAAGATTTTGCTAAGCAGCACTCAAATGCAGAACATTTGTAGCACACCTGTTTCACAGGTTGTGTCTTCGCCGCAAAACAAGGTGGTGTGTTTTTACATGATTAGCAATCTCAATGTAAACTCCTACTGCAGACTATAATTTTGACCTCCATGTAGTTAGTTGAGGTAAATCCCAGGTCGGGGTGTTTGACCTCAACTAATTACAGACAGGTAAAACTACAGTGTCTTGCATGTCAAGTTAGCTATCACAAAGTACAAAACAATGTACAACTATTTTGCAATAAATACATAGCCTTAGTCTCATCTCGTGGCAGACAAAAGCAATCTTTGTGGGATTAAAACATCTGAGAAAGTACTCAGGATTGCAGAGAATTGTTTGCACATCCTAAGCAACCTGCATAGAACACAAGCAACAAAGAACTTATACAGGATATGTTCTAAAAGCGTGAGTTGCTCAGCTGAGGACTTATATTTTTAATACAAATTCCTAATTTACAGTTTAAACTGGAAACCACAAGCTTTGTAATGGAAAAAACAATGTGGCTGTCACTTGGGCAGAGCCTGGAAAAGAATAACCTAGTACAGTACCTGAAAGCTGACAAGCATCCAAAACAAGTTTTCGATCCCTGACTGCTTCGTTCCCTCGTAAAGTCACTTCCAGCAGCTGGGAATCTTGCAAGAGGAGGACTTCAGCTGTAAGCTATAAGCTTTCCCACTCCAGTTTATTCTGCAGATGCTTCGACCCATGGGGTTGTTTTCAGAGCGTGGCAGGTGCGTGGAAGCTGCGATTTTCCTGCTTCGTGTTGTTTATCCCTGAGCTCAGGGTATGAAATGAAATGAAAGCACTGGATTTCCCGTCATAACACCAAGGGACTTTCACTTTCATTCCTATAGCCAGCACTTTTACCTAATTAAATATGGACTGTTACTATCTTTCAGTGCTGGATACAGGTAGAGGAATTAGAAATCATTGTACAGGTCAAGAAAAGGTGAGGCTATGCCAGTGGCTGTCGAGTTGTGGGAAGGACACAACCGCGGCAAAAAGGGAGAAATGACTCGGTCGTAATTAAGCACATTATCTGTATTTGTAGAACTGGTTCTTACACGGGTGCTTGGCTGGTGCCATAACCTTAAGCAGTGGGGGAATAACAGTAGGGTGGACTGAACCCGGACTGGAGCTCAGACTAGGACCCCTATTCCCTGGGGCCTCTGTCTAGCTCTGCCACTGATTGGCTGTGTGACTCTGGGTAAGTCTAGTGAACTTCCCTGAGTCTCAGGTTCTCTATTTGTAAAATGATGCTCACCAGCCATGGCAGGACGATTTGAGATCTACTGATGAGCAGCACTATCTATACATGTATTGTTATCGTTTAAATGGAAACATTATGTAGCATTATTCTGCAATGTCCTTTTGAGGGAGGGAGTGCAGCTCGATGGGTTTGAGCAGTGACTCCTGGGTTCTATTCCTTATTGCCTCACCTCTGTCATGTGGCTTTTGCATGCCTCAGTTCACCCATCTCTAAAATGGTTCACAAAGGTATTGGGAGGCTGCATTCCTTACTCAGGTGAAATACTCAGAGACCCAAGCAGAATTATCCCCAGTGTTTGTAAAGTGCTTTGAGATCCCTGGAGGAAAAGCTAAGCATTAACTACTACTGACATTAGTGAGGGAGAGGGGCAGGTGTCAGTGTCTAGAAAGACAAACAACAAACCAGTACAGGCTCAGGCACCGCAGTCTCTCCGGCAGTGCTTTGGGCTGCCAGCGTATGGTTTGAACCAAATGTTTCCTGTGGATCTCAGCTGCGTCCCCGACCAATGAAACCTTCCGAGGCAGCATGCAGGGAATGGGAATGCGATGAGTGATTCATGCAAAGCGTAGACTCAAAACACATGTTGCTCTGCTCTCGTGCCTGCTGTTTGCACTGCCACGTATATGTACAGCAAGAGACGATAGAACAAGAAATCTCGGAAAGCCATTTCTGGACTCTCATCTGGTTCAATGTGCCATGGAGACGGAAGAGTGGCAATGAGTGGTGGATTTAAGTAATAATGGTGGATTCCATTAGAAAGATTATGGCACATTTCAAAGTGCCTTATTGTATGGTCATGTTCTCAGGCAAATGGACCCAGATCCTCAAAGGCATTTAGTTGCATAACCTGCACTGATTTCATTGATTTAGGAGCCTAAAAACCTTGGAGGATCTGGCCCAAGGTTGCTAATTCCTATCATGTAGTACTGGGATCCCAAGTGGGCCCCTGAGACAGACACTGACTCAACATGGTTGTGTATCCACCAGCAGAAGGCAGAGGATTGAAAAAGAAATCCCAAGCTGGGAGTTGCTGCTTGGGAAGTTTGGGGATGAACACACCTTGAGTGGAACAGGGAGGCTGGAGAGTTTGGTCTAGAACAGGAAATGTGGGAGTTCTGGGTTCCACTCCTGACTCTGTCAATCTTTGGCCACACAAGAGCAAGTTCTTGACCTCCAACGCTATGCCCAGATAAATAGGCTTTTTCCAGGGGCCTATGCATGGAGTTGAGAGGATGGTATATGGAGCAGCCAGATAGCCAGTGAGCTGCGCTAGTCATAGTGACCCACTATGCACCTCTTATGCAGGGGTTTTCCCAAGCCATGGCCCAGGCCCACTGCCTCTCACACTCCTATGTCCCTTGCCACAGAGACAGCCTGAGTGGCACAGTGCTCTGTGGGTCGAGAGAGACTTCACCCTGTTTCTTGACAGAGATGAAAACCATGCTCTGCACTGGCATGGGGGGATGAATCCCGGTTGGCACGTTTTAAAGCAAGTGGACATTTTATACTGAAGTGAACAGACACTCGAGTCAGCAAACAGGTTGCCTTTTCCTGGAACACATCCACACGGACGTCAATGGAATTGTGTGTGTGAGTGTAAACAAAGTCTGGATGAGCTCTCCCCTGACATCTAGTGGTGAGCTGTGGAAAAAGACTTCAGAAGCTGATCTCATTTGCATGGACACACCCACACTGCCTAGGTGCTCAGTGTGATGGGACTGCTTGCCCAAATGATCACTTGTGGCTGGTGTTGGATCCCCAATCTCCTTGTTATTGGGGCAGGAGTAAAAAAGCATTGCTATCCTTGTTGTGTGAACCGAGGGCAGCAGAACTGTACCTGGCAGACCCCAATGGAGGGACTCACCCTCAACAGAACAGCACTCGCTAGGCAGGGGGCATGGGTTCCAAAGCCCAATGTGTTGAGAGAGGGTGGGGACAAGTACCTGTACCAGGTAGTGTGCGGTGTTGTTTAAGAGTCCTAGCCATCACTTGATCCTTTCTCTCTCCATGGTATAATAAAAGAGCTAATTTAGACTCAATTGAGAGTCTTATGACATGCTGAAGAGCTGAAATCACTGGTATCTATGTCTAAGTATTAGAGCTACTTTGGGACACTGTCTCAATTACAAGAAATGGCCTAGTGTGTACCAGCACTGAGGCTTCCCCCACTAACAGCTGGGATCACTGAGAGCTGTGTTAAGTGTGTGTGTGTGTGTGGGGGGGGTGTCTGAAGACATCTTGGCGAGTGAGCAGCTGGTGGAGAGAGATGGCAAGTGGCTAACAGGGTGGCCGGTGGAGAGTGTTAGGTACAAGAACTAGAATGGATAAGGAAGCAGGGAGCCCCCTAACTATAAATGAGCTCTCAGTCCTTTACTCTGAGACCAGCATCTATCATCTGGTTGGATATCACCCTCTACCATGTAATTTCCCTCCCTCTTCCTATGATGGATAATAATACAAGTGAAGACAGGCTTATGTAAACCAAACAGAAAATGTTTATTTGGGGAGATGTATACAAAGTGGGGACAGGGAAGTGAGTAAACATTAACTGAAACTTATTCTTTTACATGTACAGTAACCTAGTGAATGCGTGGTGTGAAGCCAGGACCCAAATCAATACTAGATGGGGTACAAGATACGTATGAGATACATATATCACCCTTCTGTCGGTTGCTCAGGACCTCTATCTCTTAGCTCGTATAGAGCCTCGAGAGAGGAACACTGAGGCAATCCCTTGTTGGTCTGTTCTTCCCTGAAGACACCAAGACAGGTTTTCGCGATGATAGTGGGGCGTCTGAAGGCAGATGATAACGACTGTGACGGGTAACTAATTCGGAGTCTAGACGGCCTGTTGGAGAAAGACGCGTGCACCTGCCTCTAGGATGGGCAGCCCCTACTTGAGGCGTGGTGAGTGGCCAGCAGAGAATCTAGTGGAGAGGGCCAGAGAAGAGCTCCATAGAGGCGTGGCAATTGGCCGTTGGGGCGACGAGTGAGTGCCTAAGCAGTGCACTCCTTACTCCCCCACCCCTGCCTTCCACATAGGGTGGGAGCTTAATCACTTTCTTTGCATCTGATCATCTTCAGTGGATGTTGTGAGACTCCTCTTCCCCCTCCCCCGCGGCGTTTAAAGGTGGTAATCACAAAGGTGGGGGATTTCACTATTTACAGTGCTCAGAGGTGGTTGGTGGTTCTTTTAAAATCTTTCGCCTTATTTCCATGTTTCTCTCTAGATATTCCCCATGCATTAGTTACCCCAAAATGGAGAATTAGGTTGAAACCCATTCAGCTTTGCTAATTATTGTAATTCAGATTTTAAACCCTAAGGGATGGAAGGATAAAGCACAACCGTCCTTCATACTAAAGGCCTCAAGTGCCAGAAAAGAATCCTGAAACCTTGTTTATATACAATTTTTAAACCATTTTAAACAATTTTTAGTCTTCTTTCCAACTATAATAATTAAGATAGAAATCAAAACAGTGACTTCAAAATCCTGTTTGGTTAAAACCTTCTCTTCAGTCAGCAGACAGAAAGAATCCAGAGACTAAAAACATAGAGAAATAATTTTCCACTTGCCAGTAAGTGGATTTAATGGCTCTTTAATTTCTATGTGAAAAACTTTCATATCATTGAGTAGATTGGGTGCTAAAATGACACCACAGCCAGCAATTCTCATTTTAGCAGAAGACATTGATCCATTGCATTATAAAACTTACATTTGTGTTTTGATTACAGTTATTTCCAGGATTGGTTAAAGGGGCACAGAGCCAAGTAGTTTAGTTCAAAACTTTCTATACTTTGGAAGTTGCATATTATGGCCTTGGTCGTACAAGCGTCTGATTATCACCGGGGACTTGAACGTCATACAGGGGCGACCTATTAGCAGATGTCCTTTGATTATTGCCCTTCTTTCTGGTATGAATAGTAAGCTCCGAGGAACTAAAAAATATTCCATTGTCCCCTACTGTAGGTGTCTTGCATAGCTATAGCTGCATATGGGTGGACTGCCAGCCCCGTCTCTCTTCCCTGCTATGGGCAACTCCTAGCAGGGGTCAGGGAGTGCTAGGTGCGTTTCTCAGGCATGCTCCCCTCAGCCACGCTCAGCCCCACTCCCACCCTGGCAGAAATCTGGGGCGGGCACATGACCCCACATGACCCTCCCGCCACATATCACCTCAGCTCCCTGCTCTGTGAGATACAGGTGAAGGGAAATCAAGACTCCTCCATGAACAATCATGGGCTAGCAGCCTGTCCCTTCCTCGCCCACAGCCACAGTTACCTGCTTGGCAGTAAGTGTCCACAGCCCTGTCTGGCCTGGGCCATGCCCGCAGCGGTTGCGGGGGGGGGGGGGGAGGGCAATGGGAGAAGTAAGTGGGAAGGAGCTGTGAGGAGCGTTGGGGCAAGTTGGTGCCAGCTTGGAGCCTTTCTGGAAGAAAAAATGTCAAGAAAGAAAATGCTATCCACAGACAGAGACAATGCTAGAGCTAATTCTGGAACACAAGCTCCTGTGGCAACTTGAATGACAAAAGAATAACTTTGGTTCACATTTTAAAAATGTCACTAATGGAAATTCCATTAGAAAATTTCTATCTGGTTTCTACTGATTCTGCTGGCAAAAAAGTTTTGGCACAGAACAATACTCGTATGATTGGCACAGAGCAATAGTTTCATTATTGGGCTACTGGTGTCTGGCCCAGCACTAGAAACCAACATAGACCAACTGAAAGATTCAAAAAGAGCCGACTGGAATTGCCATTACGGGTTTGATGCTCCAGAATCTGAAAGGACAGTGTCAGACTTTGGTCTGCATTATCTTTGGCTCTATACACATGACATTCTATGTACGTAAAATACAGTATAATTGCAGAAACGCCTTTGGCCTTAATTAACAGAGAGAGGATCAGCATAGCAATGATAAGAAGATCCACCTCTTTGATTAACAGATTCCTGAAACTAAACCAATGGATACCTGGTCATGGGATTGCCAGCTGTTTGCATAGGTTTGGATGGAATTTTGTATCTGTAGCTTCCTGCCCTGAAGAAGTTAGGTCCTGGGCCTAATAACTGGTTTAAAACTCAGCTAGAGGAGGTGTGACAGGATACTACTAATAGTACCCTGGTCACTCAGTTTGCTGCAGCACTGGCAAGAGCGCAGGATTAATTGAAGCCAATTAGACACTTTGTGTCGGGGGATTATGAGCCCCTGGGCTAACGATGTAATTGGGAGGCTGTAAGTGGGAGGAACAGGAAGCAAGGGGAGCTCAGAGGGTGCGCCTGGGCTGAGGAGTGAAGGTGGCATGGAAGCCTCCTCTTGCTATAACCCTGCACTGAAATCCTCACAGTGTGTAAGGAAAGAATAAATATACCCCCGGTGAAAGGGTAACGGCCAGGCATGTGTGTGTGACTGTGAGACGACACAAATTGGCCTGGAGGTACGGTACACTGGGCACCGATGGAGGCACCCAGTGACAGGAGGACGAATAGTCTCACAAATCCTCCCACCTCCAGGTTCTAACACATCCATGTGCAGGCCCTTGTGTCGCTGGTGGGTAACTGAAGTGTCACAGGAATATAGGCTCAGCCCAGCGGCCCATCAAGGCTAGTGTTTTACCTCTAATAGCAACTAATAGTGAACATTTCAGAGGACGACAAACCAGCATCTCCCAAACATGCACTAGTTATCTAGGACAAGGTTCCCTGGCATTCTAGGCAGCTGTATGTCTGCTTGGGGAGAAGTTGTTTAAGCCTGGTGGGTACTACAATACCCAGCAACCACTGGTGCAACTTTCAATTAAGATTATTTAAACAAGGGTTTCAAAAGGCCTGGCCTTTCCCCAGAGAGCGTTTGGAAAAAATTACTAAAATCTGGCCCTGTGGGAATCTCCCACAGCTTTTCAGCAAGAGGGAGGAAGGCAGGTATCTCTGTGTCTTTCAGCATAGCAAGACATTTGGATAAAATCCATGGCCAAGATTTTTTTCAATGGATGCCTAAAGTTAGTGTCCTAAATCCATATTTTAATTACCTGATTAAAAGCCTTGACAAACAGCACACTTTCATTCTTTAGGATGAAATAATCCAGGTAACTGTCAGCCCACAAAAGATTCCCCATGTTCTTTCTATATTTTTTATCATGTGTCGGAAGAAAATCAGTGCAATTGACTTCTGCAATCTAACTGTGAAGTTGGGGCCCTATTTACATTCATTTTCTCTTCAGTGTGTCTATTCATCAGACAAGTCTTTCAAGTAATTGAAGTTGGTGCTGAGTCAGGGGTTGTTTCCCAGTTCCAGAGTCCCCTCACAACACAGCATTTGGTTGGTGAATTAGATTGGCACTCGCATCACACGATCTTTGTGATCGTGCACAGCACTTCTGTCCTGATGGCTGCAGGTTAATAATGGTACATAATGCAGGGGATGAAATGTTCCATCCATGTAGCTGCCGTATTAGCCCATCCCAAAGGGCTGGCTATTAAGGTAGGAAACAAAGCTTTGATTCCAACAAAACTGGGGAAAATACGGCCTTAAAGCATCAGTGTTTCAGGGAGGGAAAGAACGCTGCTCAAATTATCAGACCACGTTTACCAATGAGTTACACCAGTGAAACTGAGAGGAGAATGTAGCCACCAGTCTCCAAAACAGGAGATGTCTGACAAAAAAAGTCTTTAAAATGCTAGTTGCTTCACATTGTTTGATTGCTTAGCGTGTATGTACTGAATCTCTGAGTTTCTGTATCTACTGCTTTGCTTAAATTCAGCTGCATTGGTGCAGGCTGGATCATCGTTTTCATTCAGGAGCCATCTTATTTTCACACGTCACATTCTTGGTTAAGTGCCTTTTCTTCTGCTTTTTCATCTGTAAAAATCGGGGGGAAACTCTTGTGAGAACACCATCGATGCAATTCCCTCTTTACAAAAGAAATGTGAAGTCAGGTTAGTGGCAGCTGGGTGACCGCAAGCTTGCTCCTGCTCTTTCTCACACCAGAGTAAATAAGAATCCATGACAGTCAGTGACATTACACCGGTGTAAAATGGGTGTCAATTAGATCAGAATCAGGCCCATGTGTATCTGTTTGGATACAGTACAGGCAAAGCACAGACTGTGGTGTGCCAGCTTCCCCTGCATGGCCCTGCCAAGGTACCTCAGCTCTGACCTAGTGGAACTGTCTCTAGGGCCGAGGGGGATTCTGTCACAGTGGTTCCCTAGGGGCTGGTGTACGCTACAAAGGCTTTGCCAATACCATATAACCACACTGGCAAAGCCCTGATGGAGACCCAGCGTGTTCCGACAAGAGGCATTCTCTGCCGTTATAGTACATAGATTCCTACATTCCAGGGCCAGAAGGGACCATTGTGAGCATCTAGTCTCACCTCTTGTGTGACACAGGCCATTAAACTTGCTCAAAATAATTCCTTTTGAACTAGAGCATATCTTAAATTAAAATAAAAAATCCAACAGTGTTTTGAAAATGGTTAGTGATGGAGAATCCACCATGGCCCTTGTGCCAATGGTTAGTTACCTTCACTGTTAAAAACGTACATCTTATTCCAGTCTGAATAGTTAAACCATCTCTCCGAACAACATAAACCATCCAGGCAAAACTGCCCCTTTGCCAGAATAAGCTGCAGCTACATAGCTGTTTTGCCGGAATAGGTATGATTATTTTTTTTCACACCCCAACCAATATAGCTATGCTGGCCAAACTTTACAGGGCAAACCTGGCTTCTGTCTGTAGTCTGTTGGTTCACGCTGCCAGTGACGAGGTGCAATGGGAGAGCTGGGTGGGTTGCCAGGATTGGAAGCGAACAGGACAATGCAGATGACTATAGAGGGGCAGAAGCTGAGTTTCGGTAGGTTTAACATGCGTGGGTAGAGCTGTGTGGCGGTTTTAAGGAGTAATTGGGGGAGGGTGGCAGCACTGAAAAAGGAGGTCCGGGGTCCATCAGCTGAGCTGTATGGTGTCCCAGGACTGGCAGTGGGTGCTTCAGATCAGGAGGTAGGTACACAGCTATGTGTGCTCCTGGAATATATTCACTTGGATTGCTGCAGGTCAGAACTGAGGTGTGTTTGGCAGGGCTGCAGGGGAGAAGCACATATAGCCAGTCCATGCAAGGCACGACATTGGATTCTTATCAGCTTTTCATTGTGAAGGGCACTAAAATGTAACAAAGCAATCACATCACATAGATATTGGGCTAAATTCAACCCTGGCACAACACCACTAATTTCAGCTGAATTACACACTGGATGAACTTGACCCATGATTAGATAAAATATGAACAATGGAAAGGCTTACGTTGTCTCAAAATTGGAAGGAGGGTCCTTAATAGGTCTGCAAAACTCCCTCTGGCCATTGCTAGGAAAATGAAAGGTGAAAGGGATTGGCATTAGAAAATGTATGAAACCATTTAATGTCAGGAACTATATTGCATCATTGAAAAGACATTTTAGCAGTGCTGCCTTCACCGTGTTGACCAAGACAATGAATGAGAGGCAACATCCCATTGTGAGCTCAGACACAGGAAAGGACTACGTTTTGATTTTGACTGGGGCCAGTCACGTGTTTTGGTGCAGCCCTCTGCATGCTTCCCTGGTTATTTGTATACCGGGGCAGTGCTGTCTTGTGTGCTTTTGAAATTCTTTCTCTGGGCTGGATTTGGCACTGCTACCCAATGCTTTACTTTAAATGCCATCTGAAATTTAGCAAGAGATTAACCCTTTGCCTGGCTTGAGACTAATGGCAAAAGGAAACATTTTCAAATATGCCTATGTTACTTAGGAGCCCTGGTCCCACTGACTTTCAGTGGGACTCAGAAACATCTCCTTGGGACATATTTCTCTGTTAATGGAGGGGCTGGACTTTACTGGGGGCAGAATTAGACCATTGGGGCTGGGAGTTACACCTCTCCAACATCATTATTTTGCATGGTAGGACACATTCTATGGATATGACTGAAAAGCACAGGGTACTTTAGTGCAGGAAAAAGATACCCTTGATTGCCTGGAGGACGAGCAGGGACACTCTACTCTCCTGCTGTCTCCATTACAATTTCTCATTCTCTTTAGGGGGTGCAAGGTAAGGTCCGTTGGGTGTTACAGGTTTGCCTTTGTTCATTTGTATGGAATCAGTCTCCACCAAGGATCATGCAAACTTCCTATTACGTTCCTGGGTGTAGCATTAAGTGTTGGGTTTCAGTCATGAGGACGTATGGGCTGGAATGGACTCTACCTGGTTTGTAGCATGGAGGGGTTCAAGTGCACACAAATACTGGCTAAATCAAGCCAGTAAACTCAAGAGGAGATTAAGGATTTGTCTACTCAGATTAAAATAGCGGTGAAGATGCAGCAACTCTGGTTTTAATTTGGGATAGCAGCTAGAGTGCAGGCCTAAAGGGATATGTCTACACTGCAGCTAGGCACAAGCCTCCCAACCTGGGTAGGCAGACTTGTGCTAGTAAGAGCAGTGTGGACATTGTGGCTCGGGCTCTCGAGCCCACCTGACCCCTTGGTGTGAGCTCGGGTGACCGGCCTGATTCTTGATGGAGCTACAACCTCCACATGGCTAATTTCAGTGTGTGAGCTTGAGCCCAGCTAGTGTGAGTCTGTCTGCCCAGGCTGGGAGGCTCACATCCAGCTGCCGTGTAGACATACCCCAGGGGAGCCTGGGGTTGAATTTGAGATGCTAATCCAAGTTGCCATGTTTTCACTGCTATTTTAACCTGGACAAAGAGCTTTTCGTTTGCAGTGTAGACATATCCGTAAGCAGCAGCATTCCTCCCTCTTCTAAACTCATGGGATTGGTCTGTACTAGACATTTTAATCTCAAACCTTTTTGTTACCAATTAACGTGTGGTAGGTAACACATTTACAAAGGCTGGCATGGACACTCCCCATATGTTTCTTCCAGGCTACCACCATTAAGTGTGGATTAGCTGAGTTTGTGGTACTAGCTCCTAGCAAGTGACTTTTTGAAACTCAGCAGGTGAAGATCAAACAGGCTTCACCCTTAATGTGTGTCAGACTGTACCTTGATGGCGGTGCCTGTAGTATAGAACAGCTGCAAAACAGCAGAGAACCAGAACGATGAGCACTAGAATGATGGGAATGTGCTCTTTCATGGTCTTCGGAATTTCCTGATCTGGAAAAAAAACCAGGTGGACTCAAAAACATTATGGTGACAACCAAAGCTGTAGTTTGTTTAAAGCAGTAATTCCCAGCAGGATTACTTGTGGGTCCTATGGCACGTTCGGCAGATGTTGATGGTAACTTTTGTGATCTTGTTTTCAGCTTACTTGGAGTAAAATTTTCAAAAGTGCCTAAGTGATTTAGGAGCCTCAGTTGACTTCCAATAAAACATAAGCAGCTACAGGCTAGATCCACAAAGACACTCAGGCATCTTGTTACCCAGTGCAATCACAGCCCAGAGTTAGGCAACCAACTCTGTATGCTTGGGGACAGTTAGGAGCCTAAGAAAGGGATCTGCAAAAGCCAGCACGCTGAGCGAGGAGCTGTCTAAGCTCCCCAATGGGAAATACTTTCCCACCAATCTCCATGTGGGATTCACAGCCGTGAATCCTTTCATGGTGTCAGATGCCTAAGCCCTTTCTTGTACAAAATGCACTGCTCACACTCCTTTGTACTATAAAAAAATCTAGAATAATCTAGCATGTGAAGCAGACGCATGTGAGATATTATTCAAAAATCTCTGCTTTACCTGCATACAGCTATTCCTGGGACAATATGCTGGTGCTGCTCAATAATAATGGCATTAGAACTAGTACTCTGAGAACTGCCAGTCACCCCTTTCCAGCTGGGGAGCAAGAATGCTGCACATAACAACTACTAACGTTTCATCATCAGGAGACGATTGATTTGTGGCTGAAACTCAAAGTATTTCTGCTATATCTTATACCTGCAGTTGAAGTAAAATGAAGGTAATCGGCGACTGCTTTGTGGGCACTAATGCACTTGGTTTTGTTTTTCTTGGTGTGCACATCATACAGCACAGTGCAGCAATACTCGGAGGCAGTTAAGTTGGGTTTCTCATGGAGAGTGCTGGTAAGGCTGGTTAAACCACCTTCTGCTTCCTCAGATACCAGGCTTGCCCTGCCCGTCAGGTTAGTCCCGTGGCCATCGAACCAATGGATCTGCCTTTCTCGATGCCCTATAGATGACAGACAGGCGAGCTTTCTTCCGTTTCTAGTTAGGATAGGCTCAATTTCTGGAGCTGAAAGAAACAGGGTTGATTATGGCTTGTGCAATATCCATTGCTTTTTGAGAGCCTGATCCTGCACCACTGAAATCATTGGACGCAGGATTGGGTCCACAACAACTGAATGATTTCTGCCATTTGCAAGCAACTAGAGACATCTGAATGTTGCTTTCCCGAGCGATTTCCTCAATGGGGTCCTAATTAACAGCTAACCTATGGGTCAAATTCAGCCTTGGCGTGTGTGGGTAACTCCTCTGAAGTTCAGTCGAGGAAGAATTGGCCCTAGAACTGTGTAACAACGGCCTTGGCTGGATTTCTGTGGGGACAGAGCTAAAGGATCTGGTGCTAGGGTGGGTTACAACTGCACCTTATACCATACTGGGGAAAAGGGAAAGTGACAATAAAAGAAAAGTGGATTGAGGAATCACTAAAGATTCTGGAGATGGCAGGGAGTTTATAAACAAAAATAGTTTCTGCCAGGTTGGTTTGGGTGTCTGTTTACACCTGATTGATTTCTCAGAAAGTCTCATCACAGATCCCAGGTCAGACTTTCCACCACAGCTCTACCAATGCATCACAGCCCTCTCTGGCAGCATTTATCTATTCCTGTGCTGCTATACATGGGTAAATAGTGCCTTTACCCTGGGCAAAAAGCAGCATGTAGCCGCACTGACCCAGGAGCAGACTTGGAATTCAGAGGCTCACAATCTGGTCCCCAGTTTCCTAAGGGCTCAAGGAAGAGGGAAGAGAGGGGGGATCTGATCCCCTGTGTGCCGTGAGTTTACCTGTAATTTCAAGGGTTATACATCCATCGTCTTCCCCAGCATCAGAATAAATATACCAGTTATAACCTCCTTGATCAGTTGCTTTTACTTCCTGTATGTGCAATTCAGAAACGTTGTGTTGTAGCACCAACTGAATTCTTCCCTTTTCACTGGAATCCTTTCCTTTCCACGTGTTAATAAAACTTTCTAAGCACGAGTTCTGTTTATTACAGTTTTCACAGCGCTTAACTACCACGTTTGTAATCTTCTCGCTGCCAATGCATGAAATTGCTGCCGTTTTGTTATATTCTGTCTTGACATCACTGCAGATGAAGGTTACAAGTTCTGAGGGAGGCAGGGGGAAAAGGAACACAAATAAATTATTACTCAAGCAGAAATCATTGAGTGAAAAACAAGTGTTTGATTGCTAAAATATAGAATAGGTTTATGTGTGGAGAAAACTTGTATCCGTTAGAGACCATTTGGCCATATTCTGTCCCAAGTTACACCTGTGGAATTACATCTGGAGTGAATGTGTCCTAAGATGACAGACAACTGATGGCCAGCATTTAAGTCTACTTTATCCAAAGAACATTTCCAGTGGAGGGAGTAGCACTGTTACCATATTAGCACATCTTAGTCTCAGCCTTAGTCTGGAATCTTGGGGCTCTGTAAACAGGGGTTCTACCAAGGGAGCCAAAGTGGAGCTTCCTTATTGGCTGAGCCAGTGGGAGCAGTAACCGGCCTGTCTGAGCTGCGTGTCACTCTGCAGAGCTTACAGGAGACAAATGGGATATAGCGAGTGCTCTAAAACCGACCTGCTGGCTGATTCCAAACCACACTGGTTGTGGTGGGAGTGGAGCTAGAGGGAAGAGGCGATGCTGTGGTTTGCAGTATCCCTTTAGACTATCAGTACTGTAATGTCTCTTCTTGCCAGGCTGCTGATCCCTCTCTGCGAAAGACTCTAGCTTTAGTTCTTTCTAAGTAGCCTAACTTGGTTTCCTCCTTGCCCTCGCCCCAGCTCATTGGGTTGCTGGTTTTAATTGTTAACAGTTCAGCTTTCTCCTTGGAGCATAAAAAATATATTATTGTGTGATGAGAGGCAAACGCAGTAAAATGAGGTGACTTACTGCTGTTGGAGGCACTTGAGAAAACAAACAGGAACAGGAGGCAGACAGCTGTTTTCTGC